TCAGAGCAGGGTGGAGGAGGGTGCGAAGCACCCAATGCGGCGGGGGGGAGGTCTGGAGGGGGGGAAGCTATTGCATTTTGTCTTTTTCCAAACACAAATGGAGGTCATTTCCTGCAACTTCAGTTCTACATTTTCTGTACAACTGCAGATGTATAAGGCAGTAGAAAGGTTCAAGATCTGTACTTAATTATCCTCATGTTCAAAAAAATTCTACCCTTAATTTTGAAAAAATTGGGCATAGGTTCCCCGGATGACCCCTAACCGGGGGCCAACGGTGCTTCCACAAGTTCAACAAGTGAAAAATACATGATACAAAATGTACATGTATTTACTACCTGGAACTTGGAGCAATTTATTCCAAAGATGTTAACTGACATTAATACATTAAAAACTAAACCAAATCCTATTTCTCAAACAAATCACATATTGACACAGCTGAACAAATAAAAATGTGATCATGTTTATAAACTCCACTCAAAAACGATTTTTGAGAGACACTCGGGTCACGGTACTAAGCGTGATAATCTCTAATATCTCATCTGATTCTCCCAATATGTAAAGGGTCTTTACAATGACAGCATCCAACCGCACGTACATAGAAACAACAATATTACACAAGAAACCAATTAATTCGGAAAATTTCTCAGTAATGTTTGAAAATTAACCTTACTAAAATGTAACTGAATTCTTATTTCAGTTGTAGCCGAAAAAATATTTTTCATGCGTTTAAAGTATCGTTTTAGCACTGTAATATGTACTTATTACATGTATCTATACATTTGGATGCTATCTTGACCTTTGACCATTGTTATTGTGAAAACAGGTCGGCCATGTTGTCTTTCTCGCCGTGAATTTTCGAGCCGTTTTTTCGAGCAAAGTTCAACCGTTTTAAACATTTTACGGCCTCAAAAACTCATATAACGAGGAAAACAAGTTGTAGTTGTTATTTTCATGCGTAACATTTCTTCTGGGGATGGATTATTTTTCCGTCGAGCTGCCGAAAACTTAGCGCCATGCCGCAACCATGCGATCGGCGCGGCCGGCCGGCGGGAGTTTTACTTTGTATCGGTGAGCTTTCGCGATGTAAACAAAGACAGTCGGAGTTGTTTACATGAAAATTTTGTTGTGAAACGCCAGCGGGGTGTCAGATTTTCTACCAATGACAACGTTTTCTTTGTGGCGTCATGGCGAGATCGACAATTCATCGTCACAGGATTGTGCCGACAATGGAATTGAATAGCGGCCCGATCCGTGCAATAAGCGCTCGATCCACGCCGCCCGGCCGAAGAAAATTGGAATGACGAGCACATTTATCGGGGATAAAATTCCCAATTTTGAAAACCGACCGCTAGCCACTCGAAATTTTTGGTCGGCCCAAAAAAGGCTAGGGTCGGGGGGTTTTTCATAGGGTCGGTCGGGTAACCGGAAACACAACATTTTTTTTCCTAGGCCCAAGAGTTTAGGAGTCAAGTACTATCTTCAGAAAGGCGTGAATGTCAGCGGTCATGCCTGTCTGTGATCAGTGGTAAATTTAGCCCGGAGATTACCAAAGGTTAACCTGTCTGCACATGTTGTACATCTACATGGTATGAATTATGTATTAGGTACCAGGGCTGTGGGCTTTAAAGTTTAAAGACATCCATTTGCAATTTTAGCGCAGCAAAGCAAAACAAAAAAAATTCTGGATGAGGAAATCTGTCTGATATTGACATTTACTGGCATTTCTTAGCACATTTTCGTCATCATTTCATACTTGAAGCGTTTCAAGTCTGAAAAAAAACAAGCTGACTACAAGCTATTAATGGGTACCACCCATAAATAGCTAGACAACCCTGGGATACAGAACAAGCAACAGTTTTCCGTCAGTGACACCAAATTTTGCCTCACAGATATCAGTATGCTATGGGATAGGATTGATTAAACTAATTACTAGATTAAAAGAACGACCAGAAAATTGAATTTGAAAAAAAAAAACAGTCTTGCTGGACTTATGCTTCTTTTCACACATTTAGAAATTTCCCCCCAAACACCAGCAGACCAAGGTTGGCTGATATTTGGGTGTATTCTGACCAGACTTACCAAATGTAGGCCAAATTCCTTTGTACTATTAATCAAATCAGCTTTGAGTTAAATTTGAACCAGATTTGACTCCCAACTAAGCCTAGACGTACCTTGAACACTGGCCAACCATATGTGCCCAGGCCTGTTACAATTCATGTCCCTGTGTCTAAAATTTTGTCTACCGTCAATACACAGCTCGAGTGATTTTTTGTAAAAGATGGTGCTCATTTTTTAAAACATGATCACAGCATATCCCTGAATTATGTTTTCTTAGCACAATATACCTGTATGTATACTGTAATTAAATACTGTCTGCATTTGATTACACTGTATATAATTGTATAGAACTTAAATAACTCACGTAACATCCCAGACTAGTTGAACACAAGTGTGTTATACTTACCGTTAAAGTAAGATTGTCGTATGATATTTCTCAGAATTATTTTATCACAAACAAATTTCTCCTTTTGAAAGAAAAATCCAGTGTTAGAACCTTTTAGTAACTTGCCTGGAGGCATAGAGACAGCTTTCTACTACCTGTCATCACCCTAAAGTTGATAATCTCTGAAAAAGGCTGAGAAAATGGTTTCTGGCAAAAACGCTTTTAGCCACTTTTTGATGGTTTATAGCAGATAGCTTAGTCAGTGTGTTTCTGTGCAATGTTACTGTATGTAATGCCATTTATTTTTGCAAGGACTCTTGAAAAGAAGGTTTTTGCTATGTTCACACAATTCTGTAATTTACAGTTGTGTGCATGTGTAATAATTAATTAATAGGCATCCAATGCAATTTAAATTTCAGGACGGCAAAAGAAAGCAAAATTCTGGATGAGGAAATCGGTCTGATACTGACATTTGCTGCCATTACTTTTTCGTACATTTTCGTCATCATTTCAAACTTCATAATATTATGCATAAAGTAGCCCTGAAACGAGTTAAAACAATATGAGATTCGTATACACACATATTTATTTGTAAGAAGTTATGACAAAAAAATATATATAAAACCATTAAAAACAGTTAAAGATTTACGGTAACGTAAGGTAACCTGTATGCAAGAAAGCTGAGCACTTAAAAATAAAGCAAAACTGTGTAACATTGTTTATTCTATGTGCAAGCAACCATACTGTAGCACTTATGTTTAAACAGTGCCTAAGTGCTGATTTGGCAAGATTTAATCCGACCAACACATTTACTAAATGGCCGCTCAAGCAAAACTGCTTATGTAAGGATTTAAGTGACAACAGCTGTGAGCAGAGCTAAGCTCTAAATTTATTATGAATAATAATCAGTTTTAACAGTCACAGAAGAGTGGTATAAAATATTTGTTTGTAAAAGCATCGTTATTTCAGTCCGTAATGATTCGAATCTTAACTTGCTTAGTTTTGGACTATCGTTTAGGAAAGATTTTTCATTAGAAATAGAATAGATGATGCTTTAATCTGATTTGAACATTTGAGACAATTTCCAGAAGCTCAAAGTAATCAATTATAAAACTGAGATGTTTCAATATTAATTAACTTAAAAATTGATTTAACTTAGCTGACTTTTGCCTGTTTCCCAAAAAATATTTTTACCATGGATACAATATAGAATCAGCGATGCTTTGTTAATTTCATAATGAACGTTTGAAACAATCTCCAAAAACTCAAACTAAGCTGAGGTGTTTTAATGTCTAATTGATTGACTTAAAAATTGATTTTGATTGGCTTAATTAATTTTTGTCTATTCCTCAGCAAATATTTTTCATCAGGGATGAACTCGGTGATACTTAAATCTCATTTTGAATATTTGAAACTGTCCCCATTTAGCTCAAGCTAAGCCAAAGTGTACTTACGTAACAAGGTGTTTAATTGGCTCTTGGGACCCTCTGTTTACACCCAAAATGCACTTCTCTCCCCGTAGCGTGCGTTGTTAGAGAAGAAGCAGCGCGAGCGGCGGTCCCAGCCTGGCATGGTCCTGGCCAGCGACGAACCGCGGGGAAGCTCGGCCAGATCACGGCGCAACCGGGACGAAACCAGACCGCTCATGTACGGACACAACAGTAAAAACACCATGTACCACGGTGAGTCTAGATCTGACTTTATTTTGATCATGATTAAAAAAAAAGTTGATACTCTTTTATTAGGCCACACATACTAGATAATTTTTCTTGTTTCTCTGATAATTCTCAGCTAAGAGGACAACACTTTTGGCGTGCCAAGATGGTCTTGAGGTTAGGGTTGTTGACTCAGAATCAGAAGGTTCTGGGTTCGAATCCCTAGCAGTATAGTAGCACCTCAGGGTTGTCTTCTTGGGAAAGGCAGTACTTAGTTATCAGATTTTGTAATAAAGCCGCACCAAATTAATTTCTTGTTTCTTGGACAATTCTTAGCAAAAACTAGCTACAGGACAACACTTTTTGGGGGCCAAAGTGGACTTGTGGTTTAAGGGCTGTTGACTCAGAATCTGAAGGTTCTGGGTTCAAATCCCTGGCAAGCCCAGGTGTTGTGTCCTCAGAAATGGGATTTAATAGTATAATTACATATTTCATCACTAAATTGAGGTGAAAATGAGTACCTACATGTAGCTTCAGCTTTGGTAAGGGACGTCCTCTTGGATGGGACGTAAAGCTGGAGGTCCCGTGTTAGAGAACAACCACACCTCCAGCTTGATAAAGATGCTATTTCACTTTATATAATTGTACATGTATATTACAATTTATTGGTCTGCAAGTTTTCTTCTGGAAGATCTGACTAATTTGATAAACTGCGGACAGAAAATCATTGTAACCTCTGCAACAGGTCAATGTTCACGCCCAGTTTATCTAAAAAAAACTAGAGGGCAATTGCCTACAAGTACCAGGTACAAAAATCAAATGGACCCAGGTCCAACTTCTTCCCTGCAAGAACAACCCCAATTTGGAACAAACTGTCACCAGCCACAGTAAACAGCAGCTCAGTAAACGTATTCAAGACCAAGTTGGCTATAGAGTGGAAGGACCACCCTGATAGATACGGATACACCTTCTCCTACTAAATGCCCAAACTGTCTACACCACGAAGACGGCCTCATTACCCAGTAAGGGTACCTAATGGCCTGGATTCAGGTGAATATTCAGATGAAATTGAAATGAGTGGGGTACCATGTTTTTTATGTTTTTTTATCAATCTTGTAAAAGAACTGAATACATTGTTATAAAAAGCATATCTGCATGACAGTCTCCTCAAAATTTTGTTTAGAATCATTCTAAGAGATTCGTGACAAAACTTCGGACATGACAAAGGAGCGGAAGTTACTTTAAAAGTCAGTTCCAAGAAAAACATTTAAGTGAATCAAAGAAAAGCTGCTCATATTTCTCCACTTCCTGCTACTTTGATGTTGGATTCCACAGAAAGACACCAGCTAATCATGTTCAAAATCTCAAATATGTTTTCATGAATAAACAAGGGACTTTCAAGACATCAAAATATAGTTGACAGTCATACTCCTTAACAGTCCTAGAAATTTTGTTTGAAATGATTTCAATGGATTCTTGACAAAAAGACTCCAGACTTAACAAAAGAACGGATGTTGCTTTAAAAGTCAGTTCAGAGAAAAACGTGTGAATCAAAGAAGAGTTGCTCGTATTTCTACGCTTTCTGCTACTTTGAAGTTGGATTCCAATTATTGTATTACCGGTGTCCTGTCTCAACTTCACAAATAAACCCTACAGCTATATATGTACGTTAATTGGATATGCCTTCATACCGCTCAAAGAAATTATCTTTCTAACTTCTTTGTACAAAATTCAGCTTCTTAAGTTAAGTTAAAAGGCAAATGTTGTTGAACTCCAAGGTAATTTTTACACACAACTTATTTACCGAGTCAGTCTATAATATGATGTTAAAATTGTACATCTTATACATGTATGTACACATAAACTCAGGCCCAAAATACTTTTTTCTGCATACGTGCATCAGACAAATTTTACCTGCACTACTCTGAATGTACATATAAACTGTGCAGTAATAAATGGAAACTGGTCATATTAATTTTTTATTATTATAAAACTTTGTAATGCCAGATTTGGTCTTGGCAAAAGAGAAGATGCTGCTTTAAAATTAAATGTCAGTTCTGAGAAAAACAGTTAGTGAATCAAAGAAGAACTGCTCATATTTCTCCGCTTCCTGCTACTTTGAAGTTGGATTCCAATTATTGTATAACTATAAAGTCTCAGCTTCGCAGAAAACCCCTACAGCTATACGTCTGGTGTATACGCTTTCATCCTGATTAAAGAAATGTCATCGTTCCATCTTCTTTGTACAAAATCTAGCTGCAGGGCAAAAGTATTTCACTGCCACTGTGAGTCGGAGGAAAGAAAACGCAATTTGCATGTAAAATGTCAAATGGCATTTGCTGGGAAGGCATACAATTTTTATATTTCAACATATGATGTACTTTTTCTTTTCTTTCTTGTGAGTCAGTCTATGGATGTCAGAATTGTGCTTTTCATTTTTACATACTGTGTGTCACTATCTCTTTGTAGTTAAAATGTACATTGCTGACAATGTTCTTTTGTGACAGTTTCAGTTTGACATCTTCAAACACTTTTATTTGCAAATGTTAATGTAATTTCATCAAAACAAAATGTGGACTTTTGGCTGAAATATTAATGTAGTAAAAAGCAATTATAATTTGTGTATTTTAGGTTTGTTGAGTGTCCATGATGTTTTAGTGATGTCATATTGCTTGGCCACTTTACAAGTCTTGTGAATGTGATATTGGTACCAGCCCGCAACAGTCATACTGTCTCATAGTTGAGTGCTGCCCCCTAGCAGACCATATGCACATTGCAGGAAGTGTCCAGCTAGCACACTGTTTTGATCTACATTTGTATAGCTGTCTGTATTTGTACAGCATATAATTACCTTCGCCAAGAAGGTTATGTTTTCAGTAGCGTTTGTCTGTGGGTGTGTGGGTGTGTTTGTGTGTGTGTGGTTTAGCAAGATAACTCGAGAAGCAGTGGATGGATTGGAATGAAACTTGGTAGGTGGGTAGGTCTTCATGAGACCTAGAAATGATTAGATTTTGGGCCCCCTTGCGGCTTTCCTAGGTACTGCAGCTGAACTTCCGGTTTTGATATCTCATGTTCTGGACATGCTAGGGTCATGAATTTTGGTTGGTAGATAGCTCTTGGGGTAGGGAAGAAGTGACATGAGTTTGGGTCCCCTGGCGCCTTGTTCTGGAACTGCAGGAGCATTTGTTGAAAAAAATTTGAAGGACGATAACTCAAGAACCGGTTGACGTATTGTCGTGATTTTTGGTATGTAGGTAGTTGAAGTGATGCTTGACATAATCAGATGGCAACTATGCAAATCAGGAGCTAATTTGCATAATTAATGAGGACATTCTATAAATATGCTTTGTTCGATAATAGAACTATGAAACACTTGTGACATCTACTTGAGAACGAGAAAAACATCTGAGGATATTGATAATGTAAATGAGGACCTAATTTGCATAATTAATGGAAATTTCTTATAATTCCATAGTTGTAACTGCTGCACCCCGAATTTCATACTTGCCACATTTGGAAGTTAAGTGAAGGTGAACATCAATAAATATAATTTATTCAAATATTGACCTGATTTGCATAATTTATGAGGAAGTGCTATAATAGCCTTTTTGTTATGAGAAGGCTGTCATTGGATGGAGAATATGATCAACTGATATAATCCATGCAAATGAGGCTCTTATTTACAAAATCAATGATTAAAATTGTATAATTCGTCACCCGCAAGGGTTAACATCATTTGGCGAAGGTATGAGATCGTGGAACTCTTGTTGTAGATTTAATAAATCATAGATGGTTTGTGGAGCAATAAACCTTTAACAGAACTTCTCTCCTTCATTTACTGATATTTTTTTATTCTTCCTTTTTTATAACCTAGTTGTCATTTTCTCTATTTGTATATTTACATGTATGTGCTGTTTTCCATGTATATTCAAAAGTACATACATGTAATTAATTCATTGTACAAAATACAATAATGTACAATAAATGTATATACAGATAGTAACAACGTGTTACTAGTAGAGTAGACATGAATAAAACTTCAAGTTGTTGAAGTAAAAAAAAACAGCTATTTTAAACTAATATTATACATGACATGTATATATACTAACATTTATACCAATAATTGCATAGTTACACTTAAAAGTTAAGCATTCGAGTTTAATACATTGTGTGCAGCTGTACAAAATGTATGTGTATTTTACATGCAATGGCCAGTGTTCATTGTTAAAGTGTTTATGAGTGTACATTGTCATCATTGTATTTTTGCTTCTACATGTATTTTTAACATTTAATTTACATGCGTTATGCTTACTTGTACATTTCTGTGCGGCCAGTCCTTTTCAAACATTTCACCAAACCCAGCTTGATAACACTTTGAATTCGTCTCACTTGCAGATCGGGACGACTCTTACGAAATGGTTGACTCCAAACAAGGTTGCGTATTGTTGTACTAAAGTTAGGGTGGTGTGGCGTGGACAATTTTTCCTCTCTGATCTTGTAGATGTAGCCTTTTTTAGGCGAACGCCTCTCTGTTTTTTCGGTTTGAATCTATAGATCTCTCTCTCTCTTTTAAAACATAATACAGGGTTTGACACGTTTGGGAAAATTCTGATATTTGCTAGTATGTGGCTTGAACCAGGGTACATCAAGTTTCGAAAAATTCAAATATAGATATTCACCACTATATGACCATTTCTACTGGCGCGAAGCATTGTTTAAACAAAAAAACATTTCAATACAGTATATTTTGTACTTCCATCCTCAATTTGTAATCAAGAAATGCTTTAAAAAAATTTTAATTAAAAAAAAATTGTTGATAAAACAGGAAACTGTAATGACCAGAGGCTAAATAATATCTTGTTCCAAAAACATCAACTTGAATTACTGGTAAATATAAAATAGTCCCACCTGGAAAACTTTTTATAATTTTTGGCCAAGCTGTGCCAGATAAAAATCATCTACATACACATACACATATTACATGTACTTTTAGACTAATGTAGACATTTTTCTTGGTGTTCTATTTTTAGGCCATAGCAAGTAAATTTTTTGGATGACATCCATGAAAGTACAGATTTCAGTCATCTAAAAAATAATCAACAAGAAATTTCACTTCCATCAGTGAGTGAGTGTGAGTGATCTGGCAAAGGTTCCTATAAAATTTGCTCATTTTTTTTGGGGGGGGGGGGGTGTACATGTTGATGTCATCCAAAAATTTTACTTATTGCCCTTATAGTCATTGTTCCTTTATTCTATTATCATTTGTAAATGTTGCCATATACATGTACTCATGGGTAGTGCTGCATACTGGTTCACTGGACTTGGATCCGGACTTGTAAGAATGTGTAGGTTCAATTCCAAAAAAACCTAAAAGTCAAGAACCGAGTCCGGACTTATTACCATAAAAGACTTTCACATACCCCTTTTCTTTCCATCATCATCATCATCATTCATCCTCCGTAGAGGTGGAGCATACAAAGTTAGCTCGCCACAACTGTCTGTTTTCTTTCCAAAACACCAAAAACCTTCCATAGATTGCAAAATCTTTGCTGCAAAATGAAGAAAACATTGTATCGGGCACCGTCAAGTACCGGCCTCCATGTTATGTGGCCAAAGTTTCACCCAGACAACATTGCAAGGTTGCCAACATGCAATTTTGTATATGCCATGGGTTTAGGTCTGGACTTACAAGACCGGAACTGAACCTAAACCTCTGGACTTGAATCCAGACCTGAACCTAAATGTGGGTTTAGGTATGCAGCACTACTCATGGGCTTCTTTCATTATCACTGAATCTTTTTCTTCATCAGTGAATCTGAACTGAAGAGTGTCTCATTCTCTCATTTGTTTTGCTTTGCTCAGTGTGTTACATAATATTTTGCCTTTTTGCATGGTTTGTAGCTTTGGTAGAAATCGTGTTATACTTGTACATAGTACTGTCTTTATTCAAATAAGTTTGTTTTATTTTATGTTACAGTAGCTTAGAAAATTATGGAATCCAATCCCAAACTACATGTACGAAGAATTTTTATGCCAAATACAATGTACCAAAGATTATTGGAAGGCCCTAGCCCTGAAGATATACAAAACCATGTCTGGACAAAATTGTATAATCATGGCCAAAACAGTTAGTAGTAATACTTAAAGTTACTGGATATGATTTGGGAAACAGTCATATGTTTTGTCAGCGACACAGGAAAAATCTCAGAAAAGCAGGTTTATTAGCACGAAATATTGATTTATATGCAAATAAGTCTTCAAATCATATCCAGTTGCTTGTGTAACTGTTTTTTCGGCGTATCTTATAGCTGAATGTAACCTTCACCGACGTTGTATAAGCATGGCTCACATAAGAGCTGTTTGCAAGTATCCATCTTGAATGTTGACCTTGTGCATGCACAATTTAAACCTTGAACCAGCTTATTGGCCTGGCCTTGGGTTGCTATGCTCCACCTGTGTTTCTCCTTATATAGTCGTGTGTTGGTGTGTTTTTCCAGGAATTGACGGGCCGGCTTCGTACATGTTGAACAACGAGGGGAGCTCGACCAACGTGCAGGTCCTGCGCGTGGGGTCAAGTCTGGACGTGGATGACCTGGAGGAACCGTCTAGAATACAGCAGCGCTCCAACACCACTGAAACAGGTACGCACACATCCATCTGTATTTCAGCACGTCGGCAGAACGCACTGATCATACGCGAAACCGGAATTTTTCACATTTTTTGTTGGACGTTAATTTTTGCATAAGAATTTTGCCTGTTGCAGACGATATCTTTGATTCCCCACATAACATTTCAAAACTAAAGACAGTCACAGGACGTCAACCCTATATCAAATATGACCCTATATCTAAGTGCTATGCACAGTACATTACGGGTTTCACACAGGCGCAATACGTTCTGCCGACGTACTATGTATTTGTATAGGTCTGGGTATAGAAGTGCCCTGTACAGGCACGCGGCGCGGCGGCAGCTGGCTATGCTACCATAGTGAACAACCTGTTACACCCAACCATTGCATCAGGGCTCTAGCCAGCTCAAAATTCTTTTCCGTCAGCCCAGGTCATGATTGAACTTGGGGGGAGATTGCTTTAACAGTCTAGAGGGGTCTGGGGGCAAATTGTGTATTTTCAAGTCTTAACAGTACAAAAGCAGTTTCCCACATTTCAAGAGACAAAGCATGGGGTTGAGAGAGATTGTTGGTGGTCCCTTGGAATGTTCAAATAGTTTTACCCAAGATTGTTGCCAATTTTGTCCATCAAGGTTGACGGACTGGTGTAAAAGTTTTTCTGTCACATGTCACAAAGTTCCTGCAGTTGACAGTAAAATTGGTGCTGGCTAGAGCATTGCTTTGCACATCTAAATAACTGTTTAAATAGTTTAAGGGAAAAAAATATTTTCTAACACCCAAGTCCTTGGTTGATAAATCTGGTATACATTAAAGGTTTGACTATTTCTTGTTCTTTTCTGGCATCGGCAGATATTATAATTACATGTAGTTGGTTATTAACAATGGTGTGTTTTGTTTTACTGGTTTTACTGTATATCAATGGCCAGGTGGTCCTTATGCAGATGTGGTACATTGTAACTAGTAAAGGTTTGACTATCAATGGGCAGGTGGTCCTTAGAACAGAATACATTTTGTACATGTATGTGCGTCACCGCAGCCATTTTTCTAAGCCCTTTACACCCTCATACACTTATACATCTACATGTACGCATTTCCTGTTAGCAACAGACAAGCCATGACAGCCTTGTTACACACTCAGATCTAAAGGGAATCAAAGAGCCAATTATTTGGCCCAGGTGCTGCTTTGAAGAATCATTCCAGCTGCTTTTAGCCTGTGTTACACAATCTGTCGCTGTCATGGGGCCGTTTGAGAATACTCGAGAGCCTCTTACTCGAGAAAACCGTTCCAAAATTTCCCAGAACTAAGCTCATCAGGGAAGCACTTTTCTGGTAATTGTTTTTGTTGGACAGACTTGGTAATATTGATTTTTACATCATTCCCTCATGTTCAGTTAAAAAACACTGACTGAGTGAATGTACAGTAGCTATCACATATTGTCATCCATACAAATTATAACCAGAAAAAATATTTACTGTGATCATATACCTTATTCTCTGAATGTTAACTTAGAGGTTTTGCTTGTAGAATGTCAGAGTATGTTAAATTGCTTTCCTGTTTCCACATGCTAGGCACATAGGGGATACTGACAGGAAGTTAGGTCAAAGGTCCCAGAAAGGCCCTAGAAAATGATATCTCATTTCTTGTCTTCAGTTTTTTGCTATATGCATGTCTTTACAGTTACCTCATGGGAGCCAAGTGGGGAAATGCATATTAGACCTCAGATTCAATGAAAACATCACAATAATGGATCAGAATAAGAATTCACAACTCACAAAATATTTCATAATGTCTTGAGATATTCAATTTGTTGTTTGTTGTTGTTGTGAAAATCAAATTTGTATCCAATTGCAAGTGTATTGTATGATCATTATGCTTTTGAATTGCGATTCATAAAATTCTTGTATCATTTTTCTGCAACTATTTGCCTTGATTCATAAAGGCATCATTTCAGATAACTTCACTGTTACACATTTTTTGTTATCATCAGATTCATGCAATTTCATCAGATTTTACTTTGTGTTGTGTGTAATGAATAATACACACTGTATAGAATTATGATATGAAAATGAATGTGTAGATTTTGGATTAGAAGTACAATTAGACATATATTAGAGAATTATGATACTATTGCAAATCATTATTGCACATAATTGATATTTAGTGCATTTAATCCTGATTTTTACGGTCGAGCTAGCTCTTAGATAATACTCAATCTTCCTAATGTTCAAGTCAGTGCAAACAAGGCCTGACAGCGTTAATAGATAGACAGACAGGAATAATGACCCCCGACCGTGCAGCCTGTGTGTAATTGGCAGTGTTTTATAGCGTATGGGTGGTGCGTAGGTGAGACGGACACGGACTACCAAACACGACGTACGCCAACGTGCGTCAATGACCGCTTAGATAAGAGCCCTTTCCTTTCTTGTACATGAGGATTGACGCATTGTACATGTACTCGTGGCGTATGCGGCTTTGAGTTGGTTGTTGTGAAAACGTTTTGCCACTACAATTTGAATGACTGATGCTCAGATTTTGAAAAATGTAGATTCTAAACTGAAATGTCATCCCTGCAAAGAAGGACAAAATTATACACAGTTTCAAGGAATAAAAGACATACATTGTACGTATGTAGAGATGCTACTACATACTACATACTTGTTTTAAGAAGTGAATACATCAGTCAAATTCAAGTTTTCCTCTGCTCATAGCACTATATTAAAATTTTTTAATGATGGCTTCTCCGAAATTTTTACTTAACCTCCAGCCTGCTAAGGTAGCCGTTTGGCACTGAATTTGAATTGGTCATGGGGTGATGCAGTAAGGAGAAGGTTAAAAATGTATCAGAACCATGGAAAGAAATTACAGAAGTCTTGTTTTTTGAAGTGAAAACATCAGTCAAATTCAAGTTTTCTTCACAGCACTGTAATTTAATGCTGGCCTCTCCGAAATTTTCACTTAACATTCAGC